TTTCTCCGTGCTGGCTGTTGTCGCCCTGTTGATGACGTCAGCGACGCGGTTTAATCGGCCGCGGCTTAGTCGAGCGCAATTTTGTCGTGCCACGTGCCGGAACAGCCAGGTCTTAACGGCTTTGCGAAAATATATATTCAGCAGATATATTCTCGTCGTGTCCAGAGAGAGAAACATTCCTGCCTCGACCTGGGATCGAACTCCCAGCCTCCTGTTGGAGAGGCAAGAGCTCCACCTCTAGGCCGCCGCACCACTCAAGCGATTTATTTGAAATGCACTTTTAAAATGTCCAAAATCACGAGCTGAATTTCACAATGGAAGGTTAATGCTTCACCTAAAGTTAAGCAAATAATAATGTTTAGATGGCTTTTCCATTGCAAAACTGCTCGGTTTTTGACTCTCAATGAACATATATATTTTTTTGTCCTTGGTCTTTCACGAAAGCCTGTCAAGGACCTTGCAGAACCACAATTTGTGAAGCCCCCATTTTAACCGCAACTGATTAAGTTCATGCCAGTTGCATCGCCATTTGGTACAGCTAATCCTCGACTTACAGCAGCGGTTGGCAGCAGAATTGCCCCGGCTAAGCCAGGCGATCGTTAAGCGAGTCACGCCTGAGGCTCCGTCCCTTCTGCCGTGGTTGTTAAGGATATCACTGCAGTTGTTAAGTGAGCACGCGGTCGTTAAGCAAATCCAGCTTCCCCGTCAACTTTGCTCGTGGGATGGGATGGCCGCAAATACCGATCACGTGACCCGGGGAGGCTATGACCGTCGCAAACCCATGCCAGTGGCAAGCGGCTAAATTTTAATCACATGACCAGGAAGATACGGAGATCGTTGTAAATGTGAGGACCGGCCATAAGTCACTTGTAACTTTGAACGGTCACTAAACTGAGTCGTTGTAAGTCAAGGACTACCCATATAGCAAGAGGAGGGGGGTAAATCCTCAGATGGTGACCTTCTTCCATCCACCCCAGCCACAAAGGGCAACGCTCAGGGTCGATGGGAGTTGTAGTCCATGCAATCTAGATTCTATCCTGGAAGCCATCGAGGAACTCTTTGGCCAAGGAATCCAGCTGAAATCAACTTTCTTGCTTTCTTCCAGAACATCGTGACAAGGGTCACCAACCTACCCTTGGTCAGCTCCGCGTACGAAGTCTGTTCCTCGGTGTACCAGTATGCCAAGTCGACCTACCCCTGCGTCAACACCGCCTTCAACATTGTGGAAATGGTGGCTGCCGTGGCCATGGGGAGTGCCCGTGGTGGGGCCCAACCCCTCCTGCCCCATCTTGAACCCCAGAGTGAGTCCAACGATCGCTCCTCCATGCAGTCCAGTTGGGTGTTTTCAGCACCAGTTTCAAGCGTCCCTCGGCTGCCGTCAAGTTTCTAGTCCTCCTGGCCTCATCCACCAGGCTTCTTTCTCCTTCTTTTGAAGAGAATGCATTGGCCGTTCTCATCTTTCCCTCTTTCTCCAGCTTGGCAGTTTAATCCGGGGGGGGGGGTTATGACCTCCTGCAACACCCCCTCCCACCCTCCCACCCCTTCAAAGGGGGCTGAATTCGTGACCGAACAAGTGAGCAGAACATTTTGCTCTCTGGAGCAAAGCATGAAGTTCCTCGCTCTGTGCGATTCTGTAAAATATCCTGCGAAAACTTTTTATAACCGAAAGCCTTGTTTGCAAACGGCTAAAAAAACCAGCCTTTTAAAGAAATCTGAACGCATTTAGAACTCACGTCTCATGTTTTTTTCTCCCTTTAATTACTGGTTTTTTTTTNCTTCTGTAGGTGTGGCCTGCTTTCCGGGTCCACTGGTGGAACCTCTTCTAACCGGTTCGGTAGATTTGACGATTCTACCGAATAGGTGCGAACTGGTAGGAACCCACCTCTGGCGCTGGCTCTTTGGCTTTGAAATGGAGATGAGCACTGCCCCCTAGAGTTGGGAACGAGTAGCACACATGTGCAAGGGAAACTGTTACCTTTTTAATAGCAATAGCAATAGCACTTAGACTTATATACCGCTCCATAGTGCTTTTACAGCCCTCTCTAATCAGTTTACAGAGTCAGCCTCTTGCCCCCAACAATCTGGGTCCAAACAGGTGCGAACTGGCAGAAACCCACCTCTGGTTTACAGCATGCACAAACCTAGTCAAATATTTCTGTCGAGTGTTTTATGCCAGCCAATCCGCTTTGCCCCTTTGGGTGAAGAGGCCATTCCATCTACTCATTTGTTTCCTGCCCACTGTCTAGTATCCTTTCCTTTTCTAAATTATATTGTTGTGAACCATGCATAATACATTTAGATTATTTCAACACAGTGGTATTTGTACAGTGTTGAGTGATGCTGATTAACCTTTTAACGTTTAGATAACCGAGAGTCATTGCAATTGTTTTTTTTTTAAGGAGAGAAACATTTTACTAGCACTAATTAGGATATAAAATGTCAGGGTTAATGAACATAAGATTATTTAGCTTTTTCATCCAGAGCTAAATATAACATTTAGGGGGGAAAATGCTGCAAATTCTTTGTTAAACAGTAAAGATTTTTGTCTTAAATTTAGTATTAAAGTCTCTAACGTATTGTTGTGGGACGCGGTGGCTCAGTGGCTAAGGCTTGTCAATCAGAAAGGTCGGCAGTTCGGCGGTTTGAATCCCTAGTGCTGCGTGACAGACTGAGCTCCCATTACTGGTCCCAGCTTCCACCAACCTAGCAATTCAAAAGCACATTAAAAAATGCAAGTAGAAAAATAGGAACCACCTTTGGTGGGAAGGTAGCAGCGTTCCATGCGCCTTTGGTGTTTAGTCATGCCAGCCACATGACCACAGAGACGTCTTCGGGCAGCGCTGGCTCTTCGGCTTTGAAATGGAGATGAGCATCGGCCTCTAGAGTCGGGAACGACTAGCACATATGTGCGAGGGGAACCTTAACCTTTACTTTAAATATAACATTTAGAAAAAAAATACCGCAGATTGTCTCAATCTTTGTTGTACAGTAAAGATTTCTTAGATTTAGCATTAATGTCTCCAGTGTATTGTTACTTAATATTATTAAAACATTATTAAATTACTAAATAGAATATTTAGTAATACTTATCTTATATTAAAGTCTTCTGGGATTTTAGAATCCAAATAGACAGGCTCTGCTAGGTAGCACTCCAACTGTTGATAAGAAAGAGGGAAAAAATCCAGATAGCGGATGTAGCAATAACTGAAGACAGCAGAAGAGAAGAGAAAGAACTGGAGAAGAACACAAAATAAAAGACCTGAAAATAGAAATAGAATGACTGTAGAAAAAAAGAAATCAAAGATAAGACCAATAATGATAGGCGCCTTGGGTACGATCCCCCCAAAAATTCAATTTTTTTTAGAACCTCTTCTGTAGGTGTGGCCTGCTTTGTGGGAGTGGCTTGCTGGCCATGTGACTGGNAACCCTGAGCCGGTGAGATTTGAACCGCTGAACTGCTGATCTAGCAGTCAGCCTGCAGTGCTGCATTTAACCACTGCGCCACCTTGGCTCTTGTAACAGGTAACAGATTCAGCAGGATTCGTTCACTTCTCTTTGTCTATATATATACCAATTTCGTTGTATTTATTTTGTACAATGACAATAAACACTATACTATATATAATATAACACACAAAGTAAATATACAATACCAAAAGTAGGTTTTCCAACGTGGTAGTAAATGCAAGCAAACACAGGCAGAGACAGTTTCAGTTCAGAGCACAGCACAGACTCAGAGCTTTAGTACAGAACTAAGCCACGCCCAGGCTCCTCGCCGTCTCCAGCAAATACTCTTTCAGTTTCCAAACAGCCCCCATTGGCTGACCTGTTGCCATGTCTATTCCAGTCTATGAATATTCATACTCTGACAATTGCCAACTCAGTCATGCCCAGTTTTATCCATAATTTATTTAGGTTATCCCTCTACACGTAGTCCTGGACTTATGACAGTTCATTTAGTGACCATTCAAAGTTACAACAGCACTAAAAACAGGGACATAATAGCTTTTCACACTTACGACGGTTGCAGTATCCCCATGGTCACATGATCAAAATTCAGATGCTGGGCAACTGACTCATATTTATGACAGTTGCAGGGTCTGGGGACCCGTGATCTTCTTTTGCGACCTTCTGATAAAAAAAAAAACGTGGGGGAACCCGCTTCACTTAACAACCGTGTCACTAACTGAACAACTGCAGGGATTCACTGAACAACGGTGGCAAGAAAGTTGGTAAAATGAGGCAAAACTCACAACTGTCTCGCTTAACCACAGACATTTTGGGCTGGCTCGTGGCCATAATTCGAGGACTCTCTGTTAAGGTTAGCGGCAATTTTGCCTTCCCCAGGCTCCAAGAAAGCCCTTCGCGCATGCGCGGAGCAGTAGGGGGGGTGTTTGTCACGCATGCATGCACAGGAGACATGGTGCGGGGGGGGCATTAAATTATGGGGGTGGACACCTGAGGCGAAAAAGGTTCACCGTCACTGCCATAATCCCTTGCTGGATGGAGTCGGGGCAACTAAGTGGAGCTGAGCGTTTACTGGCCGGATGCTCATCCTGTCACCAATGCGGAGTTATATGGTTATGGTTTATTAAACTTGTATGCCGCCCTATTCCCAGAAGGGACTCATGGGGGCTAACAAACTCATAGGGAAGGGGGGAAATACAACAAAAGCAAACAAGACAAACAATTACAAAAAAACATATTAAAACTCCGCAACAGGCGCACCAATTCGAGTGGGGCTGGGAACTCATCAGCCCCAGGCCTGCCGGAACGGTTCCACCACAAAACCACGTTTGACTAAACCGCGCTGGACGAAACCGCGTAGCTGACGTCATCAACAGGGCGACAACAGC